TTCACAAGCCAATTTCTATATTTTTCCTCATAAACCTTCATCATTTTAATTTTTTTTCACGATCTGAGGAAATTGCTGAAGAAAATTGGCACTGCTGAGGCAAAGAGTGTGCAGATCTATTTCTATTAAAATGAATTTATTCACTCTTTAAATATGATGCTGTATTATAATTTGTGCATGGAGGACTGATGTTAGTATGATTCAGGGTTTGACAGAAACACCTCCAGCAGAGAAGCAGGAGAGAAAATGTTATTCCAGCTGAGTTTGTCACATTTAGCCCTAGAAATAAAATAAACTTGTTGTAAAATGTTTTGACAACTTTTGGGTCACGTCACCTCTGCTGCTAAATGTGAAGAAGAGTGAGCCAATAAAATTCAGTGATGTCAGTAGCGCACTTTTACCAACGAGTGTTATTATAGTTAACTAAAACTAAAAAAAAAACGTTATTTTACACTATTAACGTTAACTATATATACATGCATACATTCATACATGCATATATATATATATATATATATATATATATAAGTTTAAGTACTAAAATAACTAACATTAAACAAACTAAAACTAATGAATAAAAAAAAATTAAACTATAGACGTAAATAAACAAATAAAAACACACAACTAAATCACCAATACTAACTAAAATTTAAGTGAAAATAGAAAATAGAAAAATAGCTAAAACTAAATAAAATAAAACTAACAAAATCAAAATAAAACTAAATACTATATAGACAAAATAATGAATAAATGAATCAACAAAACACAATTTTATTTTTTAAATTACAAAAAAAATACTAAAAGTAAAATGAAAGAGAAAATATAAAATATAAAAATAATTAAAAATAAATAAAATAAATCTAATAAAAATGCATACTATATACAGACATAACCAAACAAACAAATACATAATGACAAAAACATAACAAAATTACTCTAACTAAAATTAAAGAGAAAATACAAAATAACCTAAATAAATAAATCATAAATCAATAAAACAAAACAAAATAAAATTGCAACAAAATTATTAAAACTAACTCAAATTAAAGTGAAAATATAAAAATAAAAATCTAATTTAAAGTTGTAACAAAAACTGCAATAGACACTGATCCCAACATACACCCAACTCTAAGAAAAAGCAGAGCTGAAATACAGATGCACGTCTGAGCCGATGGACTTCAACGTCTGGCTTAAACGTATGCTCTGTACCTTCAAACGCTGCCTACATTTAAGCTACAAAAAACCATCCCAGTTTCTTTGAAGAGTCTCTGAGCATCTGGTTTTAACAGTCCACTTGAGTTTGTGGGTACTGGGGAATGCAAGGACTGCTTTGACTGGGAGAAGAGCGCTGGGAAAGGGAAAGAAACAGAAGAGTGTGCTTTCCCTGGAAAACAAACAGACTTTTGTTTCAGAGCAGAGAGAGAAGACTGTCTGTCTGCCTTCAGCGGCTCACGATGGAGAACAAGACAGTTTCAGAAACTGGAAAAACACAGCTATAGTGCTCTGAGGCAGAGAGGAGGTCAGGTCAAGACATCCAGACGCCTCTCTGAATGAACAACCACCTTCTCTTAGGATGATGGTGAAATAATGTTAGCAAAAGCAAAAGCAAAGACAGGTTGTGCATACCTGTCCATTCTGGAAAATCACAAAAATATGACACAGGATTCAGCATAAAGGTTTAAGTAACATCCAAAAAGAGGTTGTAATTCTTGGTTACAACTAACGTCATGGTTTTTGCGAAACCGCTGACTGAACCGTCTGTTACGTCCACTATTATCATTTGTTGAGGGTTTTTGATGTGAAGACCAAACATTTGGAAAGTTTTAGTTGGTTAATGAATGGAAAACGTGATCTGATGTGGCTGTGAATTTCAGCCAGCTCACCTTAATTACCAAAGACTAATCACACTAATGTAAACTGCTCCTCTTCCCAGAAATCCCTTCAAAGAGGTCTGGGATTCTCCTGGTTCCTCCAAACAACAAATTGAAGGACTTTACGGTCATGCAAGTATTGATTTCATTATTGGTTTAACCAGAAAGGACAGAAAGAATGATAAAGGACACAGTACAGTATAATTCAACTAAAGCAGAGTAATGCTGACTCCAAAACCTCCTGGAAAAGTCCCTCAAAACTGTCATCATTTCGAAAGTAATGTTTTTTGTTGTGTTGGGGAATCGCTTTCTTTCTCTTTCTTTCTTTCTTTCTTTATTTAGCACTAATGCAACACAATAATAAGTTGCAATTACATTTTTTTTTTTTTTTATTCTGTGGTAGGAACAAAAACAACACAACTGCGAGATGTAAATTCAGAAATGCAAGAAAAAAGTAATAATTTATATCTTGCAATTCTTTATGAAAATGACTTTCTTTCTTTCTTTCTTTCTTGAAGACTTTGTGTTCTTCAGCACTAATGCAACACAATAAAGATTGAATATTATGTGTGTAATTAACGCTATATTTTATGATAGATTTTTATCATTGTCATGCCACCACAAAAAAAAAACAAAAAAAAAAACTTGTATATATGAAATTTCCACCACAGAATAAAAATAAAAAAGGTAACTGCAACTTTTTTATCTCACAATTATGAAATGAAAAGTCTGAATTGTAATATAGAAATTTCCAATTGCAAGAAAAAATGTCAGAATTGAGATAAAAAGTAATTTACATTTTAATGTTTTAATCAATTACACTTTTTATCCCATGGAGGAAAAAAAAACAGAATTGCTCAGAATTTAGAAAAAAATGTCAGAATTAGGAGATATAAACTACAGTAGGAATTGTGCAATGTAAATTAGAAATTGCAAGAAAAAAGTCAGAATTATGTGCAAAGTGTGTCATAAAAAAATCACAACTATTATTATTTTCTGACGGAAACAGGCTTTCATATTTGCCTCGTAAATTACGCTAAATTATTATTTTTTATTATTATTTGTATTATATTCCTTTTAGAGTTTCCTTTTCAAAAACATTAATGATGCATTATTAATAATAACTAGGATGTTTTAATGAAAATATCCTGCTATATTATCACCCAGTGATATATAAATATATCCAGCTTTACCCACATTCATACAGTACACTCACTTAAAGCGATATACTGTGTACTACATATCAAATCTCAACTGTGCTTGATTGTTTATATTGCTGCAAAATGTAACTGTATTAGCGCCCAGCTCTAATCTGCTACAGGCATGAAGATATTAAGATATTATAAACATCAACATCATGATTTCCTGTGAAAAACATGCTATACAACGTGCTATAACACTGACTCTACTCTCTGCTTGCTTGTTTTTAGGCTGACAAAGGCCTCTTTCTTATGCTGTATCATAAATTGAGTACACCACAGAAAGCTGCTGCCTGTGTTTACTTATTGAACAGACCATGTATCTATTCATCCATCTGTCTCTGCACTTTTAATCATGACCAAATCGAGCTCTCGCTTCTCTAGAAAGCACAAACCCCTCAGCTGTCACTGCGGATGTAAAGAGATTAGATGATCGTAAGGCTAATCCAAAACAGCATTCCCTATGGAGAAACACACACACACACACACACACGGTATGACACAAATACTAAATAAAGACATGTATTCTATCGCAACATCTGCAAGCTGTAGCTCACATCTGGACGGCAGTCTCTCACACACACACACACACACACACAGGACCTCATTGAGACCTATACTGGAGTCCAGGTGCTTCAACGCTTACAATGCGGCTCTGATTCTCAGTGACGGCTAACAGATTCAATCTGGCAGTATGATGTGAACACTTGTTAGCCAGTTTCCTTCTCGCTCACTCGCTCCAACCCTGTCTGGCAGGATTCTCCCATTGAAACACACTGTCCCGAGAACATGGATATTAACATGTGCATGAGAATGATCGCAACAACATGCTCTTTGTGTGTGTGTGTGTGTGTGTGTGTGTGTGTGTGTGTCTAACAATACCAGTTTCGTCCACTTGGTGACAGCAGCACACAGTACTGTCAGAAAACATTGCATGTGCCCTTTAAAGAAATAACTCACCCTAAAATGAAACTTCTGTCATCATTTACTCACCCTCACATCCTTCTGGCCCCAGTGTTAGTTTGACAGAGAACAATTAAGCAGAATACGACTGACTGAGCTTTCAACTCTTAACAAAAGAAGCATCGCCTCATTTCATTTTTAGTCATTAAATATCATTCGAGCACTGCAAAAAAAAAATTGTTTCTTCCTCAGTATATTTGTCTTGTTTTCAAATACAAATATCTACACGTTCTTAAATCAAGATATGTTTACTTCAGAAGGAAAATGACATCTGATATGAAGGCTTGTTTCTGAAAAATGGATCAGAATTAAGCAAGTTTTTGCATTGAACAAGAAAAAAATTCAACCAATGGGGACAGAAAAACAATCTGGAAAAAAATAAATTAATTAAAAAAATAACCCCCACTGGCAGAGACTTCATTCTTGTTTTTATGGAAGCCTGTTTTCACAACCGGACAGTTCTCAGTTACTGTCCAGATCCAGGGTCACTCTGACTTCCAGCATTAGCACACATTATCTTTTAGATTCTGTCTGCATTCACCTGTTCTTCTGGCCTCATCTTAGATTCGGTTCAATCGATTTGTAAAACACAAAATGAGATGTTCTGAATGTCTAAGATGCTCTTCTTCAATCAACAAAAGTGATTTATATGGCGAAGCTCAAAAAAATGCAATGAATGTATCATAAAATCATGACTTGCTCACTATATTCTTCTGAATGTAGCTTTTTTTATGAGGAACAGACTCACATTCAGGCTGTTATTGACTGAAAATCTCTTTATGATCAACTTTTATTATGCTTTTCCATCTGCTTTTATGGACAACAGGAGCTCAGACATTCTGCTAAACACCTCGGTTTGTGTTTCACAAAGGAAAATCATACATGTTGGAATGATATGGGGGTGAGGAAATGTTTGAAAGAGTTTGATTTTGGTTGAACTATCCTTTTAACCATGTTCACGTCTTACCTGGCGCTTTCAAACGTAGCCGAGGGAGTTTTCCCGACCGCTCCAAAGCCCACGCCAACAGCCAAACCCTCTGAAACACAGAAAACACGCACCTGCTTACACTTCACAGGCTTTCAAACACCAATATCTGCTTGCTAAAAACTGCACTGATGATCAGGACAGAACCTTGCCAACAAAGGAAGCCTTCAGCGTCCCATCACTCCTGCATTTACAGTCATCAAATGTCCTTTGAAGGCAGTTTGTGAGATGTTAGCAATACAAACCATTGCCCTCAATCTAGTGAGAGCAGAGGATGTTTATAAGTTAGTCACTCATCTGTCTAGTAACTGTCTAGTTCTTGGGTCACTGTGGCTTAGAAATGAATCTGCAGGCTGTGCTGAAGATCCTCCTTTCCATATTAAAGAGCCAACAGCCATTAAAGGGAGAGTTCTGTGGTCATTTACTCACCCTCATGCTGTGTGGAACATTAGCGGATATTTTAAAGAATGTTTCAACCATTTTTGTTCCATATAAGGTCAATGGGGTCCAAAGTTGTTTAGACTGCAACATTCTTCAAAATATCAAGGTTTGGAATGATGACGGAAATTTCATTTTCAGGTTCCCTTTAAAGATAAATGTGCCCTTAAATATATATATATATATATATATATATATATATGTGACCCTAGAGCACAAAAGCAGTCTTAAGTCGCTGGGGTATATTTGTAGCAATAGCCAAAAATACATTGAAAGAATGATTATTTGTTATCAATAAATTATAAAAAAAAATTTGCCATATGTTTATTTTATGAAATCTTAAAATTATTATAACTTTAACAGTGAAATATGCAATGATAAAAACCTGTTAATTGGTTAATAACTTTTTATACTCTATTCGGTGAAACACTGTAATAGATAATAATAGATGTAATGGGACATTTTATGTTTGTTTTTTACAGTAAATAATGTTAAATTTACAGTTTTTGAAAGTGAAAATGATCTTACAATTTACAGTGAAATAAAATACAAATTGACATTCCCAGAATTTGACACTTCACATTTGATGGTTTTTCATGTTTCTTCTTAGTTTTCCCCCCATGATAGACTGTAGGTACATAATGATTTTATGTTGTTAAATGAATGTTTATTGCATTATTTTAGTGTCATTTGGTGTGTTTTAGTGTGTTTCTGAAAATGTTATCAAAATTAGGTGAGTATTTACATAAAACAAGAAAAAAATTCAGAAAATTCAGAATTAAGTTTATTTGACTTACCCTATTGGCAGATATATTTTCCTTGTTATGGAAGCCTGTTTCTGCCACAGGATAAGAAAATAAAAACTTATCTCACAATTCGGATTTTTCCCCTCAAAATTATGACATAAAAACTCAGAATTGCAAGATATAAACTATTTTGAAAAAGTCAGAATCGTGAGATAAGTCACAGTTAACTCTGTTGTTAAATTAATGTCCATCACATTATTTTAGTGTCATTTAGTGTGTGGTATATCATGATGGTGTTTTGTGTCTGTGTCTGACTTTCTCATTACCATTTGCATTTTTATGGTGGTTGTGAGATTATTATAAAGGTAAAAAAAAAATGTTTTTAGTAATTTGTTATATTAACATTATTTATGTTTATGAAAAATGCATTTAGTTGTAAATATAATCTATAAAACTAGAAATGTTGCTACTGTATTTTTCTTTTTTTTATTGCTTTAACTTTCAGTTTGATTTCATTTGTCAGTTATATGTTATTTAATATTTAATGCTTCTTGTGTTTTTCTGGTGACCCTTATATTACATGTGTAATGTTGGATGGAGTTCACGTTCAAAATCACTTTCCAAAGTTGTTTCCTGTTTGCTCTCAGTTCTCAATTTCCTGTGAGGCTCTCTTTTCATTGGTGCATGTGTGGGGCTGCAGCCAGCAGAGGATTTGTCTCGATCGATCTGCTATTTGAGTTTAGATTTCAAACATCGTACATAGTATTGAGACAGATGCACTTTTTCAGTCCAGCAGCACTTTAGCCATCTGATAAGCTGACATCCAATTACAGTCCAATTCAATTCACATCATCCACTACAGCGCTCCTGCAGCGACACTATATATGTGTGTGTGTGTGTGTGTGTGTGCGTGCTTGCGTGTGTGTGTGTGTGTGTGTATGTAAATATGTTCATTCAAAGCCATCACTCAGATTAATCAGGTCAATCTTATCTTTAGGCAGGAAAATTCATTCTGGGCTCAGAGGAAATTGAGGATATGTAAATGCATTTGATATCAAATCAACATGGCATTAAATCAGATAAAATTCTCAAGTAAACACTTGTGCTTTGGTTAAAGTGACAGTTCAGGTTGTCTTTCAAAATCTGAACCTGCAGCTAGTTCATTATTTAAACAAGATGAGGCCATGTTGAAAGTCTTTTGATTTAAGAAAGCTGTTTCAGAAAGTTTTTTTTGAAAGAAATTAATACTTTTATTCAGCAAGGACACATTAAATTCATCAAAAGTGACAGTAAAGACATTTATAGTGTTACAAAAGATTCCTGTTTTAAACAAATGTTGTTGTTTTTTTACATTCTCTATTGTTCAAAAAATCCAGAAAAATAACATGTATCACGGTTTCCACAAAAATATTCAGCAGCACAACTGTTTTCAACATTGATAATAATCAGGAATGTTTCTTGAGCAGCAAATCAGCATATTTTCATGATTTCTGAATATCATGTGACACTGAAGACTGGAGTAATGATGCTGAAAATACAGCTTTGATCACAAGAATAAATTACATTTTAACAGATATTCGCATAAAAAAGAGCTGTATTAAATTAAAATAATATTTCATAATATTACTGTTTTTACTGTATTTTGATCCAATAAATGCAGCCTTAGTGAGGATTTTTTTTATATATAATTTATGCATTATAGGGGAGAGCGTGGTGATTTGAGCCTGTGGGGAAGTTGAGCCACCCCTTGTTACTAGGCAACCTTAAACAAAATTGGTGATATGACCACACATATTGGAAGAGTTAACCCCATGGGATAATTTGTAAGTACATTTAGGTTCAAAAAAATTTTTTTTGCTGTTCAAAGGGATTTTTTTGTCTTTATGTTCAAGGACTCATGCATCTGTGTCCGAACAATTACATAAATCTGAAAAAATATCAATATAATAATATGATACAATTGATGATGATAGTGATGATGAAGTTTGTTAAAATGGTCGGAGTGGGGTAGTTTTGCCGAAAGTCTTGGGGTAAGTTGAGCCAGTGGCTCACCCCTTCTTATGATTATAAAGTACGATTTTACTGTATTCTACATATTTGATTAATTTTAGTCTCCGCTCCCTCCTTCAGGGAACGAGGGTTACATACGTAACCGAGACGTTTCCTGCTATTAGCCCAGTTTTGTAAGGTCAACTGCAGTCAGTTTTTTCTTTTTTCCTTTTTCTTTTCATTGGTCTTGAGCGTCTTGAGCCACAGGCGAGGAAAATCCCTGGATGAACGGTCAGTCCATCACAAGGCTCACACATAGATTTTAAGAAGTCATTTTTATTGAATTTCTCTTCCTTTGATATAGCATGAGGTAAAAATGTTCAGTTTTACTTCAGCATAATCAATGGAACAGTTTAACTCCATGTGGCTCAAATTGAGCCAAGAGACCACTCTTTTTTTTTTGTTTGGAAAGCCATATTTTGAAAGCATATACTTTTCACCTTGCTCTCCCCTATGTACATTTAGATTTATATGCATATACTTTATTCTTTTTCAAGTAACTTTTTTTTTATGGTTTTGGTTTCAGTTAACGATAATAACCCTGGCATGAAGCTTCTTCAAATTTTCTTCTTTAGTTTTTTTTTTTTTTTTTAATTTCACATAAACAATAACAGCATACGTGACCCTGGAGCACAAAACCAGTCATAAGGGTCAATTTATGGAAATTGAGATTTATACATCATCTGAAAGCTGAATAAATAATCTTTCCATTGATGTATGGTTTGTTAAGATAGAACAATATTTGGCTGAGATACAACTATTTGAAAATCTGGAATCTGAGGGTGCAAAAAAATCTAAATATTGAGAAAATCATCTTTAAAGTTGTCCAAATGAAGTTCTTAGCAATGCATATTACTAATCAAAAATTAAGTTTTGATATATTTACGTTAGGAAATTTGCAAAATATCTTCATGGAACATGATCTTTACTTAATATCCTAATGATTTTTGACATAAAAGAAAAATCAATAATTTTGACCCATACAATGTATTTTTGGCTATTGCTACAAATATACCCCAGCGACTTGAGACTGGTTTTATGCTCCAGGATCACATATGGGTTAGTTTAACTTAATACACTTTGCTATATAACCAGTTTTAATGACACCAGTTTAAGGACCCACCGCAGTGCTGACGAACAGCACAATAAGATTCCAGAGAAATCACATTGTTCTTGTTTGAAATACACCACATGCTACGTCTGCATGTTAACCACAGCAACACCGCTGCTCTGAGACATGAAATGCCTGTGAGATGATAAACACTCTCAGTCGTATCGCGGCGCACACGCGTGTATTCACATCCAGAGATTCATTACAAACATCTCTAGCTGATCTATATTCCACCTCCATCCATAAAACACAGTCTTCCCTCTCTCAGCCTCCTCCTCATCACTCACGCGCTTTAGAAGAGAGAAATGAAGACATCTTATCTCTCCATCCAAATAACACCACCTAAGAGCCAAATCTCTATCACAAAACAGGCATTTTGACTCGAAGACTGGAGAAATGCTCGAATTAAAATCATTCATTAAAAGGCAAGATGAATGACTTCCAATGTCTAAAAGTAAAAGCAGAGGCTGGGTTGCATGTGTGCAATATTTGTGCTCAATAAAATATGATGGCTGATTTGTCAGCCGATGTGATGCAACAGAGTTTTGATGTTTAATTGATTTTAATAAGTGAGTCATGCACATAATTAATGGACAAACTGTGCCTCATTTCTTTGCCTCAGGACTCCCATCGCAATCAATGAACCAAAATAAATCTTAATTTTCACCAAAAAACATACACTGACATTTATCTTCCTCTGAAGCGGCA